TGCTAGGTTTTTTCAGATACAGGCAATCACAGCTCTATTTTCTTGCATTAATTCAGTATACACCAGGTGAAAAGTATCTGAAGTCCAAAAGTTCTCCTACAATTTGAAGGTACTGAAGTGACAGATTGAGGATGTAGAAGGATGATATGGAAAACCATTTCACCAAACAGCCATCAGGAGTGTCAATATACTAAACCCACTTTCTTCTCCTGTCCTAGAAAGGGGGTGGCTTTCTAGGATTCAGCATCTCACAGTCATTTAGCACACTAAGATCTCAGCAGTAAGAGGGTGTTGAGGATGGACAGAACACAACTTTAACCAAGAGGTAAGTGAATATCTACATAGTGTTACTCTGGTCATTACTTCTCAGTGCCTTTACATTTTATGCCTAGCACAAAGGATCATCCCACAAGGATGAAATACTCACAGAGAAAGGGATGCAGGTGAACACGTCTTCCTCTGACACCACGTCATCAATCAAGCTCTCGTTCCCCCACAGGTACTCGAGTGTGGCACTCAGCGTCACAGACTCGTTCAGGTGGGTCAGCTGAACGCAGACTTTCTCTTGAGAATCTGTGTGTATCAGATAGGGCACCAGCACCAGATACTGCCTAGGAACAAGGGAGAATGATAGGTCAGAGGAGCAGGAACAGGTACAGAGCTGTCTATAAAGAACAAAATTACCAATCAGATGACTATAGCTTTCTCTGCACAGGGAGAAGGGTGCATTTTCTAAGCATATAACAAGATTTCCAGCATGTCTGTAGGAGAAGGGGAAAGCAGAGAGATGAGTCTCAAATGCAAAATACAGAGGAAATCCTCCACACAAACATGTGGAAAGGATATGTTTTTCTAGGTTCTGGCATAGCAGCAGCACTTCTTCCTAGGATCCTGAATAGAGGTGGGGGGAATTCAATTGTCACCTTTGCTAGACACTGTTAGAAGCATTCAGGAGCCACACAAATGCCAGTACCCAGTGAATAAATTCCATTGACTACACACTGTGAAGCGTCTGTAGCATTACTCTCATTCCTCGCAGAGATTCAAAACTGCCACAGCGTGGTGCCAGATCTTAAGCAAAAACAAACAAGTTTCAGGTTTTCAGGGAAGCAAGGCCTTCTGTCTCAGCTTAACAGGGGATCCCTGCTCAGCCCTGAGCAGCCTCCTTCCTTCCCAGGGTAGCAACTTGCTGGTGGTGCACCAGTGCCCAGCACTGCTAACCGTGCTCCCATTTTTGTGGAAGAGGACTGGCCTCCAGTGGGCATACTCAGAGCAGCGAGCAGATGGGAGAAGAGCCCTCAACACCTCAGCAGTAAGGCAAGGCATTCCCTTCAGCAGTAGCAGAAGCTCTGGCACTTTTTTGTCCAACAGTTGGTCTGCAAGGATCAAGCTCTGGCCCCTCCACTGTCTATCCCCTCCATTTGATGAAAGCACTACAGCACAGCCTTGCTAAGAAATTTCCCTGCACCCCTTGTGATGGGCTCTGTGATGGGTGAGGTACTCTGTGCTTTGCAGGGGAGGAGGAGACATTGCCAAAAAGCCAAAAGACAAAGTCTTTTGGATGTCAGGACCCTTCATGTGCTGCTCCTACCACACATGTACACACATGCACACAACACAAATGCCCTTCACATACCAACGGGGCAAAACTGGGGGAAGAAAGGAGGCAGGACAATATACCCTCACAAATCTGGATGTCACAGTCTTACAGTATCACATTACCCTGGGTGAGAAGGAAATTTTCATTCCTTTGGCTGAGCTGAAAAATGTAAATTAAAAAATAAAGCAATTTCCAAGAATGCCAGATGAGATATTTGTTCCTTTTCTTCTCAGTATCGTTTTTAAAAAGCCATTTCCAGCTCCTGGGCATTTCAACCTGGGAGCAGGACAGTCAACCCAAAATTAAACTTTTCATTGTCCTTTCAAAATAGTTTGTCTCTTAAGAAGACCTCATGCCAGAAACATTTATGAAAAGTTGTCTTTCAAAAGAACTACTTTTGTGCATAAAACTTTGTTGAAATCCTGTCAATCTGCTGAAGTTTTACTGATATCTCAGTTTCACGGCTGGTTTTGCATCTCTCTCAAGCACTAGAGTTCCTGTTTGTAGAAGGCACTTTACCCAGCCCTGGTATCTTTATTCCTGGATAAAAGAAGTTAGATAGAAGACAAGGGAAACAAAAACAGATACAGGAATACAGCCAAGGTCTCCTGCCTGCCCAGAGACCCCCCAGCATTGCTTACGGCTCTGTGATGGGTGAGGTGTCTCCTGGAAGGAAGAAGAGGAGGAGGAAGATGCTTGATTTGATAAGCAGCCCGTTCATCCCCATGGTACACAGCAGGACGTGGTGAGTCAAGCAGACACTCAGTGTGGTCCAGTGCTGCTTTTACTCCCTCTCTGCTCTCCCAGTCTGCCCCTTTATACTCTCCTCTGCAAACAGCCCAGGGGCTGGAGGAGATAAGGGCTGGGGGCCAGGGCCCATCTGGAAACAGGGAGAGGCAGCAAGGAGGAGCTGGAACTAGCAGCTCCAAGTCCGGGCAGAAGGCCAGTGCTGGGGGGGAGGGGGAGGGTTCCTGGCAGGCTGGAGCTGGGTCTCTTTTGGGGCAGGACAGAGGCAATGGAAGAGGAAAGGCTGTAGCAAAGGAAAGAAGGGGTAACAGCAGAGCATGAGCAGAAAGCCTCCATTTCTGTCGGGCTCTCTGTATGGGGCTGGACATGGCACTGGTCATGGAGGTGGCTAGAAGGGCAGGAGATGCTTGATTTCCTTCAAATTGGGAGCAGGAGATTGAGCTAGGATTTGGGAAACAAGCCCAGGTATGTCTAATTCCCACTAACAGGTTGTGAAAACAGGGAATGGAAATCGAAAAAAACCTTCCCTCTCCACCCACGCTGTTCCCTTTTGCTCTCTGTTCCCGGTCCCATCAAAGCTAATGCCAGGAAAGAGGCCACAAAATGCCTGGAAAATCAAGTCAACTAAAATGATCTGGCCTTCACCTGACAGAAACAGGGACAGTGACATGATGGGAAGCTGCCAAAAGTTCAACCCATTAACAGCAGGTAACACATTAACCAACTGCCCAAAGCAGCAGCTACCCTCACACAGCAGAACATATGTGGCCTGGGTCTTACTTTAATCATACTGGTTCTGGTTCCAGGTCAAGTTATTGGTACATCTAGATCAAATTGCTGTTTGATGGAGTCATCCTGCTTTAATTAAGTGCAAATACACGTAATGCACTGTGATGGGCAATGTTGTACCATAGAGGGAAATGGGGTCTTTAGACCACTGTCTTTACTTGGTCTGCAGCAGGAGGATCAATAGCTCTGGTAATTATTACACTTGCAAGTGGTAGTAGAATACCTGTCTTACTTATAGTTCTAATGGAAACTCCAAAGAATGGAGATCTATGTGAGAGGATATAAAGCATAATTTTCAGATAAAAAAGTGTGCAGGATTAAATGGTTTTCTGCCTGTCCTACCCTTCTCCTAATATAATCATCAAAACTTTGGTAAGCTGAGTAACTCTGGAGTTTAGAAATCCAAGTGCAGTACAATAACAAACCTTCATTACAGACCTCATTCTGCCTTGCAGTGATCTGCATAGGAAAAAAGAGGATAGCAGTGCATGTGCAATTTCCTTGGGAATTGCACAAAAGACAGCCCAGATTTGTGCTCTTCCTTCTGCATCTGACACCTAAAGATGGCTTTGCTTGCCCAAAAGAAATATAACCCAGGAAAGTCTGCCTCACCCACAGATAGAGGATTTGTACATATGGGCTGGTCAAAGCCCTTTTGAAGATGATCATTTACAGTGGTAACGGTCAGGAGCTGGACTGGTGGAACACAAACCCAACAGGATGAGATGCAGAACCGTGCATGGCAGAGGGAGCTCTATAGAGATCTACCCTTTTTGTCAACTAGCCAAACAGCTCACATGGCTCCCAAGCCTGCTCCTGATCATTAGGACCTTGGTCAAAAATCTGCTCTGTAGCCAAAAACTGAAGAGAAATGTCTTCAATCCATTCAGGCAAGGTAAACTAGGCATGCTCAGAGACGTGCTCATCTCACCTACATATCATGATAATATGAGAAGCTGTTTCTTCAGTGGTATTCTCTGGTAAGGTAACTGGTAGGTTCCCTTCTACAGGTGCTACCACCATTTTGACAAAGCAAGCAAAGTGTTCAGCATTGTTTCATAGTGCCTGGCAACTTTCTACGAGTCAGGAACAACTGTCTTTTGGTAGCTGAATGGACTCTAGCACAGATAAAAATTACTCACCCAAAGTAACCCAAACAACCCAACATGAAAATTCTAAAGTTTTGACCTCCAACTACACTGCAGTTTCCCCAGGTCTGGCTGTTGCAGTGATGGTTATTAAACAGCAGACTCTCTCTTGCTGTAAAACATTCTCACCTGAGACCCTCATCTCAGTGAACTCCATATGAGGCTCAGCAGACATCCACTTATCTAAATATGTTAAGATTCATAATTTTATTGTTATCCACCTTGATACCTTCATGTGCAGCATCCTGTTAAGCAAGTGGAAGATAACGCCACTGGTAAGGATTTCCTGCAATTATAATAAAAATATGAAGCAAATATATGTAGTCGGAATTGAAATGCTGAAGTTGGTTATTGTGCTCCTGTGATTGCAGGAATAATTACTAGCTTGGTTAAACCTTCCTAATTCCTTCCAACAGAGAGAAGAAGTAGCACAGGTACACACTTTCTGTCCAGTGCAGTCCTGGAGATTTATTTTCACTGCTGGATTTACAGAAGCTGCAGTTTCATTTCACCCTCTTCTCTCCCACTCATACCACTGGGATGTAAAAGGAGAAGCTGCCACTGGGAGAAATATGATTTTTGTCAATGAACAGCAAGCCTCATTTTCCTTGTCCTTCTGATATCAGACAATGGAGTTGCAGAGGATGGAAATGAAATCTGATACTTAAAAGTGAGGGAAAATGACTAGGTCCCCCCCAGAGGTCTGAAGACACCTGTTGTAACAAAGCTTTTATTTGCCTTTATAGGATAAATAAGGGAAAGAGTAGGCCAGGGAATATGTCCCAGGTCTCATCTGGTCACAAACAGCAGTAATCTAACACTGAAAATAGATCTATTGCTGAGAGTAATACACCCTTATGGACAACAAACCTGTCCTTGTAAAACACTTTAGCGAGGGTATGGAAAAGGCAAGTCCTTGGTCTTGTGTGAAGCTTCAGTTTGCAGGACAATGATCAACTAATACCACTGATGAGGTCGTTGTGAGATGAAGAAGCACATAGGATTTATCTAAGTGCTTTCTCACAGATCCATGGAGCTGAAACTTCACAGCTGGAGGCACGAAACTGATGTTTCATCAGGACAGCACAATTTTGCACATGGCTGTTAGAGTGGACCCTGCAAGAGACATGGAGCAGTAATGAGAATGAAAGAAAATACTAAGATTGTCTCCTGGAGACAAGGAATTAAAAACATCTGATTTTGATGGGTGTAGCCCAGAGGAGGAGAAACAACAAGACCTCCAAAAGGCAGCTGTTAGAAAATAAAATGTACACCAAAGAACCTACCTACCTGCCACAGCTAAGTAATTTTGCCATCATGGAACCCAAATCAGACCCAAACGCAGACACAATTCCCTGCAGTGATATCCACCAGCATGTGAGTGGCAGTGGTGAAAGTCTCATGGAATGATCACTGCCTTCAAGGAGTTTGTAGGAAAGAAAGCTGGATTTATTCAGGGAACTAAGCCAAGTGCTCAGAGTACTGACCTGTTGACAGTGAGATCTTGGGCAAGTTTTGCTTGTTGGAGAGGCTTCAGAAACTAACTCATTGCCTTAATTGTCATAAAAAGGAAAGGGCCAAGCAAACGCACCAGATAAAAAATATTTTCCCTCATGTAAAACACTGACTTTTGTCCAAGTAAAGACTGACATAAAATTAAGGTTCTGACTCAGGTTGGCACCAGTAGAGCAGGAAAAGGCTGGGTTCTTGCACCCAGTGAGAACAGCATTCTACAGAATGGGTGCAAGGTGGCTACACCCAGTAAAGCCATATGTGTTTCTGACCAAGCATCTGTGTACTGGTGCAGGTAAATAAAATCTTTGGTCTGAGCAGCTGGGGGGAAGCAGAGAGTGAGATACTAATATTTGACCTGATTTTCACAGGTACATGCCTTTACAAGGTGCAGGGCAGTGAAAAGTAAACCCTATTGAGCTTAGTGAGTACAGGTGACAGCAAGAAGAAAACCTACCCAGGAAGAAAGCTCCTGACATCTGGAGGAGGAACTCTGGGTGTTCTGGAACACCAAGCAATCTGAATAAGCATAATTGTTTTTAAAACAGAATGAAACTTACCTGGCATCACTTAATACAGAGCCATCCTCCCAAATCCATCCAGAGCTTGTACTGTTCCTCAGTCCAATCCAAAAACATTCTGCTTGAATACGCTTGAATAGATCCTAGAAATTATGATGAATTACAAAGTGACTAATGAAAGCCAGCTTGAAAATGGAGATAAGGATAAGTAAAGAGAACAGAGAGCAAGATACATCCCCTCACCTCACTGTTCCTTAAGTGACTGACAATACTGCTTCCCCACACCTTCTAATGACAGGGCCAGGAGTCAGACCCAATGATCCTGATGGGTCCCTTCCTACTCTGCATATTCTGTGATTGTATGATTCTATGTGAACTGCACCTCAGTCTCCCGGAGTTTCCTGCACAGAGCTTTATGTAGGAAGGTATGCCATTAATATTAATATCAACACCCTACTATACAGCTAACTAGCAAGCTAATATGAAGCATTAACAATTAAAGGTAAAATAAGGGCGGGGAAGGGCAGGACGTGCAGGCACTGACAGTTATATGTAACAAGCCCAGTATGAAAGCTTTTAAAATTTCATATACATTTTCCTCCTATGTGTTTTCAATGTTCATTTCCTTTTAGCTAACTTTTAACCTCTGATTATTGTTAAATGGTGAAGCCTGCACCAGAAACTCAGCCCTGAAGTAAATTCCCGATCCCCAACCCTCCTCCCCACAAAAAAAAAGACAAATCCAGGAAAGGCAAGTTTGTCTTGCCCACCTTTGCAACCAAATAACAGCAACCTTTCAGGGGTATGGCTGGGCTCCATCCTTATCTCCTGCTGCCATAAACAAAGCTTCAGAGAAGACCTCTTCAGAGAGAAGCATTAACAAAGCTGGCTTGGTAAAGTTGTGGGAATAGGAGCAGCTTGAGGAATTACTCAAGTGTTGTTGGTGGTTTGGAGATGAATCCACTTCCCTAGCACTTGGAGGTTGAGCAATCACAGCCTTCACAGTACAAGGCATGGATAGCTAGAAAGGTCTTATTTAGATGGGTGAGTCTAAACCCTAAATCTAACCCTAACCCTGTCCTTGAGCAGGGATAATGGTAACACTCTAGTAGCTGAGATGGCAGTAAGAAAGCAGCAGGAGCAGGAAGGCTCTCTTCATGCCAAAGAAATGGGTAATCTGGGGAAGACACCTATTTCTCAAGGAGACAGGATTTGTCTAAGCAAATGTGAGAGCCTGGTACATACTCCCAATCAAGCAGAGGCCTGGCTTTGCAATCCTCCAGAGGACATCACACAATGCAACTTCTGTCCACGGACTGGAAGCTGTCCACGTTCATTGCACCTGAGCTAATAAGCCCTGGCTTGAACAAAACTGGATCAAGGTTTCTGCTCTACTTAAGCAGATGTGCCTCAACGCCCCAGTAATCAGCACTACCCCTTTCTCTAGTGACCACACATGCCCCTGCCCCCAGAGAGCACCTGCAATGGAACACGTGGTTCCTTATTTCACCAGCACAGCTGAGGCATTACGGCAGAGGGAGGAAGTAAGCACTGAAAAGAGACTGAGAAAGAAATATCTAAGCATGAACACAGGGATAGGCATGGGTCATTGAGCAGGAGGAGCTGGAGCACTCACAGGGAGGAGAAGTATTGCTTTTGTAGAGGAAGCACTCCTTTAGAGTGGGGTCCTATCAGTTTGTAGGCAACGAATACAATAACTGCTTAGTGCCACTGTAATAATTCATATCAGTCTTATTTGGAAGAGGAGAGGAGGTGGAGAGGAACAGTGGAGAAGGCTGTCTCCTACCATCCTTCATAGGATGATTCTGAGTGACCCTTATCTGACAGTGACCCTTATCTCTCGGTTTTCCCCTTTGCTTCTCTGCTTCCTGCAAACTTTGTGATGTGTAACACCACAGTCATAAATCCTTCCCTTCCTTTAAAACTAAAATATTGCTGAAGTGACAGCACTGCTTGTATGCCAGTCACTTAGGTATCTGGATGGAAATGGGAGATCCTCAAAGCCAAAGAAAACCATTACCATCTCCAAGGTGTCACTGATCACCAGGAGGTGAGCTCCCTGTGCCCTGCAGGATTCCTGGCTGGAATTCCAATCCTTCTTCTCCTTGGAGAAAAAATAGCAGCTCCCTCTGTAGGCCATCCACTGTTGAGGGCAGTGTGGGTGGCAGTCACCTGTAAAGAAGTCAAAATACTCATACTCCTCTCTACCATTAACCAACAGAAACACTTGTCAGCAAGGACCTACTGAGGAACAACTCATTTGGATAGCTGAAATGCAGAAAACTCAAATCAGAACAAGATTATGAAAGTAACAGTGTAATTTCAAAATCTTACAATAGTCACATGCGCTGTGATGCTGGTGGCAAGCATGCACACACTCACCCTGCCCCCAAATTTCCACTGAACCACTCAGGTACCAAATAATACCCAACCATCTATCTGAAAACAGATCACACTCTGTGGGTATGGTGTGATCACGTCCCACTTTGGGTGGAAGGATTTTAACAGGAAGCTCCTCCACACCATCTGCATGTGTGCAAATATATTACAGACCTATTTGTTCTACTGTTTACCACTAGATTTACCAGGCAAGTCTACAAAGACTTTTCAATATGTTTAACTGTTCTTTGCCACAGGATCTGAAATGGGTTTCCTGGAGTCTGCATGAGGAATATATTCTTCAAAATATTCTGGATAGGCATTGGGTACATAAGGTTGTTAGAAACCTGGAAGAGCTTCTGGTTTTAACTCCATACAATGGAGTTTCTGTGGTTAGATGTGTTGCTGGTCCTTTGCTGTTGGTTGCTCATGCTCAGCAGCCCTTTGTGCACTTACTCATCTTCCAAATCAAAACAATTGCCAGGAAGATGCTCAATGTCCCAAAGCCTATGGCCAAGCCCTTCAGAACTGCTGTCCACAGATGGGGAACTGTAAAAGAGAAAAGAAACCATAGTGAACAGATGCTACATGAAGACTGAATGTGGTTTTACATAGTTTGCTTGTGTCATGGGCATTTCCACAAGGAACTGCACTATTTAGAGCATTGTGTCTGTATACACTCTGCACATGGTGGACATCACTATCACTGTCTCTGCCCAGTCAAACTAGGGCCTCCCCATCAGCCCAGGCCCCCATTTCAGCTGGGTTTGGGGCCACCAGTTCCTGTGTGAACTTCCCAGGGGGTACCTTTCCCCACATGAGCCACAGCTCTGCCCCTGCCTGGCCAGTGACTGACCCCACCACAGGAAGCACCTACCAGAAGTGAGCTGGAGCCACCTAGACAACATGTGACACCTCATGCTGGCAGGAGCCTCCCAACAAATCCACTCCTGCCTCAGCATTGAAGCTTGGGGTGGAAATCAGAGAGCTGCATTGCTACAGCCACCATGTTCCAGCTTACATGTAAAAAGAAATTGAAAGATTTTCCCCCAGCTCACCCAGCAATAACAACAGGTTTAATCTCAGCATCCTGTTCACAGGCTTAAGACAAATGGTCATGCTACATCTTCCCAGGATTCTCCCAAGGCGGCTCTACATTTTCATCTTCCATGGTAGGGTGACAGAATGGGAGAGACAGCCTTGAAGACCGTGGGACATCTCCTCCTTCACACTTTTACCACCACTGTTTGCTGTTCACTGGCAGTGGCAGAGGGTGAGTCCTCGGGGCAACTTCCACTGTAGCCCAGCACAGCTTACTTTCAAAGGACTGGTCAGGACTGGCCTGTAGAAGTCTGCTTTTGTACAGCACGACATGTTAACCTCCAAGCTACATGTTGCTTTTCCATTGCCATCTCCTGGAGCTGTGTTTGACCTGAGAGGCATTCACTTTGCATAAAACATTTGCAATCTCAGCACTAAAATCTCCTCTCTCCAAAACAGAAGACAGGATGACACTTACTGGCACAGATGAACTCCAAGGAGTTTGCTTTGCTTGTTTTATTAATCTCATTACAACAGTGCACAGACAACAGCACTTTCTAAAAAGCAGTAAATGTGCAGCTAATTTATGTACCACATCCTGCTCTTGTGATGTTCCAGTGCCTTCTACCCAAATCTAGCAATAACATCCCCATGGATCTCATGAAATTTGAGGTGCTTCTCTCTTGGTCATGTCACAAGACTCAAAGAAACACATTTGATCTCTTAAGTGAGGTTGAAAACAAAGATATATGACATATGAAGAATATTGTGAGAAAGACAAAGAAAGCCAGTGCTAAAACAGAAGGTAAAGGGACTCCACTTAAAAACAAGAACGCATCCTTTACATATTGGAAGCTTTGTCCAAATACAGAAAGTAGACCAGATCAGTAAATTAGTAAAAATTAATTTATTTTGATCTTGAGCAGTTTTCAGGCTCACTTATGTTAAGGCCAGTTTCTCATCTATAGCAAAACACTTAGGCCTGTGGTTTTACCTAGAAGAAGTTTCTAAGATAACAAGGGAGATCATGAGGGAGCATAGTTGTAAGCATCATTCTTCTGGTAGAAAGATCTTTTCTAAGATAGAGGTTTTCTCACGTTTCCTGAAGCTTGTAGGATCTTCTAGCTGTCCCAAACATAAGGTTAGTAAAACTTCTTATTTTTTAAAATCATTATTACATAACAAAACCCCATCTCATTTCAGAGACAAGATACAGAAAGACTTTTCAGTTACAACCTACTCATCAGCTTCGCGCAAAGGGACAGCAGGAGAACTGAAGGACTTGGACTGGGTCTGGAAGTTAAACTTGACTGTGCTCTCTATTCCTCTTGTTTGTATCCCTGACAGCTTGGGGTTTGCCATCAGATTAAGCCTCAGGAGAATGAAGTCAGCCCAAGGTTAAGGGGTAGGGTGGAGGTTTTTCTCTGCAGATAACAACTGAAAACTTGGCAAAAGGGGATAAACATCTGATGAAATATAACTCCTGGTTCTGAGATCACATCTGTACTTTTGTTTTTCTTCCTCTCTTGCCTCCCCAAAGAAGCTGTCTCCTGCATCCTTGTAATCACTCTTACATTTTAGGGAAAACTGCCAAGCAAGACAACCAGAATGACAGTCTTTGAAACAGTAAATCCTTAAATGTCAGCACCGGGCACGGAGCTGGTGCCTCCTGGCAATGAATAAAGCAGTTCACCCTCCATTGTTTCAAACCAACTGCAGAAAAAAGAGGAATGATTCATCATCAAAACAAAATCCCAGGGGACCTCCACAACCCCAGCAGTCACTAAAGTTCGTTAAAATGAAAAAAATATGGAATTAGATAATTTTGGAAGGGAAAAAAAAAAAAAAACAAAGTGAAGTGGGAAAACAGGAAGTGTTTGATGTGAATTTAAGCTGCACTTGAAGTGCAGAGATAAATCCAGAGAAGTGGAATAAGTATTTCACAAATTAGGATTTTTACCTGCTGCAAAAAGGAGCCCCTGCAGGTCACACTTTTTAAAACAGGTTCAAGGGTTTCTGTTTGATCATCAGCCCCCAAACTACATGTGAAGATCTTGTAGGAGTGGATGAGAGAAGTACCTAAGATGAGTTTGAAATAGGAGGAAAATCTGAATGGAGCATCCAGAAATATTTCCATGTAGTTGTTGATGGTCTGATGAACTGTGAAAGAATCTGTCCAAGAGGGGAAGTGGACTGGTAGGCATTTAATGTAAATATCCAATGTTTTCACTTTTGGTGTACAAAACACCCCAACAAGTCTCTCAGTGCTCTGTGTCGGAATCTGTGGGTATTGGTGATTCCGAGATTGTAGAAAGTCTCTGTCTTTCTGCCCCGTTGCCAAAAAAGAAGCCATAATTCGTCTGTGCTGTTTTCAAGGTTGTTTATTCTTGCTTATCTATAACATGTTCTCCTGCCCTGCCGCAGGTCTGTCCTGCAGGGCAGCGTGTGGGGCTCGGCCCCTCAGTGGGATGTTACAAACATTATATACCAGAAACTACGTGTACTATATTTACAATAATGTGCCAATATCTATCATCTATGTTAAACAGCGTGTCCCCAGCCTAAACCAATAGAAAAATGCCAACACTACAGTGAAACACGGATGGCATGAAGAAGGAGGAAAAGGACAAGACACACCCAATTCCTCCATCTTGTCCCCTCTGAACCCCTAATCTAGAAACCTAAAATTTTACTTTTGCACCCGTGTCACACTTAATTATTACTCTTATCAAACACTCAAAGCTTGTAATTCATCCTGTAAGATTGAAAACTCCTCTCCATGGACAGAGATCACAGACAGTGTCTCTCGGGGCTCTGTCCAAAGGGGTTCCTGACCCCCTGCCAGGGTCCCAGGCCTTCCAGGGCAGCCAGAGGGAAGCCCTGGATTCCCACACTCTGGAGAAATGACTCTGATACTCTCTATTCATTTGCAAGCAACATGACCCAATATTTTTAGGTTTCTGAGTCCGGACTCAGTTCAAAATCTGAAAGCCGTTAGCATTTTACAGTTCAGTTCATCTAGGACAATCTGAAGAATGCTGTCCCAGATAGCTCCCCTCTGCTCCTGCCTACCGCAGTATGGGAGCAGCATGACTACCTAGAGCCAAGGAGAATTTGAGATACAAGGATTCTGTTCTTGGCTGTGACACAGAACTGGCTATTTCGGTTACCACAAGCACAATATACAGGCTAACACTGTCTTAAGTGACTGCTTTACTGATATTCTGGTAGTGCAGCATATCTAAGACTCTCTGGAAGCCAAAGAGAAGAAACAACCAGGGCAACTCTTCATTTTTGAGGAGTCTATAAGCACCAAAACCCATTGGTTTGACCAGAGGACTGATCTACACACCCATGATACTTGCTTTACTGTCAGCAAGTCAGTAAAGTCTTGCTGACTTTATTGTGCCTGCAAAGTCAGCAAGTGTGTGTATTTCAACAGAGGGAAAATACCTGAGAGCACATCTCTAAGAAGTCATGGAGGCAAGAACAGAGTTGAACATAAAGACCTTCAAAAGAAAGATACTTGAAACGAGCTCTTTTGGGATCTCTTTCATGCTGAAGATGAGAAATAATCAAATAATATCAAAAAAAGTGTGTTCAAGTACCAGCTTCCTTATTTTTGGTTGTCTGACCATAGCTCAAAAAGATGAGTTTCCATAAAATAATGTAGAGAGATGTTAAATAGAAAAATGCAAACATCTAAAGAGGGCATTGGTTAATCCCCTTTCAACAGGATGGGGGTGAACAGGAACGGCACAGTATGAAAGGATGCTACTGTGTTTTCTGATGCAACAGAAAACATAATTTCTGGTGAAAACATATTCAAAAGCAAGACTGCCCTCCAAACAGATGGAGTGCGAGTACCAGATAGTAACTGGGGAGTTTCTGTGCTGGCTTTGTTTTCACAAAGTGACCAGGCAGTAGTAAACTCCACAGGTATACAAAATTATTCTGATCAGGGTATAGAAATCTTGTATCCCACAGTGAGAGTCCCCTTTGCTGTAACACCTCTGAAAATTTAAAGTCAACAATTAGTGTTGCAGCCAATGCAACAGAACTCATCTAAAGCTCACTGACACTTCATAGAATCATAGAATGATTTTGGTTGGAAAGGACCCTAAAACTGATCTAGTTCCAACCCCTCCACCATTTTGCATGAAGGAAATATTTACAAAAAATTATCTCCAATGCAAAGTTGGACTCTTTGAAGGTGGTATTTCTCAACTAAGCTGCCAGAGGACTTGTTCGGTGTGACATCTGCAGGTCTAATCAGGACTAATGGAGAGGAAATAAGGAAAGAAAAAATTTAAGGAAGGCACTAAGAAAATCTTCCTGATAATAAAGTGCCCTGAAGAACTGCTTCACAGCAAAAGCTGAAAATTTGCTCACTAGGAGGTATGTAACACTAGAACAAAGAAAACAGGGGGGAAAAAAAATCACAAAAGAATCCTGCATAGCCCCATAGAAGAGAGGCTGGATGATCTCATATGCATTCTCTGTCTCTGATCTCTGATTACCATGTGCCTCTAATTTATCTGTATTCACATCTTGCCTGCCCTTCAAAGAACTATAGCTCACAACCTCTTGCTGCTGCCAAGCAGACAACTGTAAACCAGTTTTGAAGAAAAGGATGCCTGGGTTGAATGCCCAGGAGTAGACACTGAAGGAGGTCGGTAAGAGGGAGGGGGAAAATGCTGGGTCTCTAACTCATCAGCTTTAATATCCACAGTAATTTTAGAACTAAAGCAACAGCTCTCTAAGCCAGCACTCAGAATCACTTGCCAGTTCAGAGTGTTTCTGTTAAATCTTGCTTTCCCTCAAAGTAAAACTTTTGGTTGACCTACCTCATCCATCTTTCCTCACCTTTTTTTTCCTGTGGAGCTTTAGCCCTTGGAGGAGTCTGAGAGAATTTGAGAGAAGTATATGTTACTTCCTCGCTCTCATCAGCTGCAGAAATTTCTGATCTGCTTGCCTCCATGCCAAAGCAAGGAGCATGCACAAAAGGATGTTTCAATCAGGCTGTTAAGTAACAGGGCTCAATGCCTGTGAAACAGGAAGCCTGAGGCTATATTCAGAAGACAAGAAATATAAAGCTGCTACCTCTATCTCCAGCTGTTAAGATAACCAAATTTACAACAATGGAGAGCGGTGGAACTGCAGCAGCTTTCATTTTCTAACCTGATGGAGGATGTCTCAAGAACAGGTGCTAATGGAAAAGGTGATTAATGACAAAGTTCAGGGGCACTCTAATTGTTGCTAATGCAAGAGGGTGTGGTTACACCGATGCAGCAACTGGGAGGATTCGTGGTGCTCTGAGGAGCTCCCTTCAGGGCAGAAACAGTGGGATGGTGACAGCACAAGGTAAAAAAAAGGTGAATAGTGAGAGTACAAGGTGAAAAGTGGGACAAGCAATGGCTATGGCAAACTGGCAGCGCTACTGCTGTCAAACAGGAAGAAAGGTGGACAGCACAGGTTTGAAATTGAAGCCTTGTGAGCTTTGGACAATTCCACTTCAAACTGGGAACTCTGTATATACCCAATAGCAGTGTGACTGTGCTTGAGCCACAAGGTAGGCACTGAGAGCTGGCATTCCTCAAGGACATCTAAGTCAACATCTCAACAGCATCAGTACAAGGGAGACAGAGGCATATTGAGGAGAATCTACCAAAAGGGCACAAAGAGTTATCCTTTGGGACCACACCTTCTGTCCTGGGAGGAAAGGCTGAGAGCTCTGGTACTGCTTGGCCTGGAGAAAAGACTTCTTGGTTAGGATCCAATTAATGTATATAATTACCAGAAGGGAGGGTACAAGAAGAGTCAAACTCTTCAGTGGTGCCCAGTGACAGGACAAGAGGCCATGGGCACAAACTGAAAGACAGAAGATGCTGCCTCTGAACACAGGTGTTGCCAGGAAACACTTTTTTTACTCTGAGGGTGGCTGAAAACTGACATAGGTTGGCCAGAGAGGTTGTGGTGTGTCCCTCAGTGGGGAGTGGCCTGGACACAGTCCTGGGCTGTAGGTGGACCAGGTTGAAGGTGGACTGGCTTGAGCAGAGGGTGGGACCAGATGATGTTGAAAGGTCCCTTCCCAACTCAACCATTTAGTGATTCTATGGTCAGCAACAACAGCAAAAGCTACTTTTCTTTTGAAGTATTGACCATTGATGAGAATAATTCAAGTTGTGCTAGGGGAGGTTTAGATTTGATATCGGCAGCATTTTCTTCACCAAAAAGGGTATCAAGCACTGGGACAGGCTGGACAGGGAAGTGGTTGAGTCACCATCCCTGAAAGTGTTTTTAAAAGATGCAGATGTGGAGCTTAGGGACATGGTTTAGTGCTGGGCTTGCCTAATGATCTTCAGGGTCTTTTCCAAACTAAAAGATTCTGTGACTCTGGTGGGGAGTACAGATGTTTCCAGCACCCCAAGAAATCTCCTAGCTGCATAGTTGGCTGGTTTTTGTTTTAATCCACATTCTGATCCCTTCCATTTTGTGCTCAGAATAGGGATATTGGTCAGGCTCAGGCTGCACTTCTTCAGCACAGTACACTACAGTTAATTTCCAATATATGTCTGGGCATGCTCAACAAAGGAGTTGGGATGACTGCTACCTCCAACAGGGATGATTGTTCCCCCTTCTGGTGATATGTTCTAAATTCTGGTGACATGTTCTAAATTACTGCATGGGATTTGCCATTGTTACAATGCACATGGTGGGGAAGGGACTGGATATTTGTGCAAACTTCTTCACTTGCCTGTCAGGGTGGCATATTGCATTCCTTCCAATCCGAGATAGGGCCTGTGGACAGCAAGATAGGGAGTGTGTGCTTGAAAGGATGGGAAGGCATAAGATAGCAGAACAAGACAAGAGGCAGAATGTCTCTCCTAAATGCTTCCAGTGAATAATAGAGAAGTCTAAAGAGAGCTCTCAAGCTCAGAGAGACAGAATTTGCTACAGTCACAAGGGAGTTTAGCTGGGAATACAGTCTATATAGCTGAAAAGTAACTAACAGGATTCAGACACAGCTTAAGTGTCCAAATCTGATTTTATCCCAGCTTTGTGTTTCTTTGGTAGATTCTCTCCAGTATTTCCATGTTCTCTCATATTTTGGAATAAAGGTGCCTCTCCCAGCTCCTGCCAGTTTTGTCACTTTTTAACTGCCCAGGCTGCCTGCTGGCCCAGAGTGACTACAAAGACAGCACTATTTGTGAAGAACTGGAGAAGTGTAAGCTCGTGGGAAAGAATTAAGAGCTGTTTTAATGTCGTTTACCTTTTTTTTTTCCCCTAATACCAGTAGGACAGGAAGTAGAGGGGGAAGGATCACGCTGTAGAAGGTATGAAAGCAACTCTCAGTTATTTATTCACACTTACATGTAAGTGTGAATAAATAAATCTGACTAATGCAGCTGTGCCATACTGTCAGTATGGAGCCACAGTAGGACTAAACTGGACAGTTTTCCAGGAGCCAGCAGCACTTCTTCCCTGGTTCTTCACTACTGAAGCAGCATACCAGAGGGGGAACCTCCCAAATTTCACTCAGACACATACCTTTTCCAGCATGTTGGTACGTTCACTAACTGCAGCATTTCTTTCTTAACTAAAGGATGCAAAAGCCTCAGAACTCTGGTGAAGGTGTGTCCCTTCCAGTAGCAGACTCCTGGAAAGTGGGACATGCTCTGGGAACTCATCATAAGGAGAGGGATATCCTTTGAACACGCCAGTCTCACATCTCACATTTATAGCTTTATTAATGATATCCAAGATGCTCAAGCACTCCAACCTTGTGTGCTGGACCTGGAATCCCTCTACAGTGGTAAAATCTGCAGGAGTTGGAGGAGACACCTTTATTCCAAAGTACAAGAACAAAACATGGAGAATCCACCAGAGACACAAAGTGGGGACAAAATCAGAAGGATCAAGGCCACAAAGCAGCTTGTGAAGTGGTCGAGGCGCCTTGCTCCTGCAACACACTTCACTCTGGAGGCAGCTGGTGGGTATGGCAAAGCTCAGCACAGAGGGACTGCTACCGCCTCCGGAGCGGGAGCGAGGGAAGGCTGATGCCGAGAAGCCCTTCATTCCTGCTGATGCGGCCACCTGCCTGCGGCTCTGCGAACCTGCGCGGGGCACAGGAGAGGGCAGAGCGCGACTTCAGCGAGGGACAGTCACAGAGCCCCTGTGGGCGCTGATCTGCAGCCGGGAGCCCGGCGATCCGCGTCCCGGGGCTGTGTGCCGCTGCTCCCCGCCGCCTCAGCACAGCACGGCACGGCACGGCACGGCACGGCACGGCACGGCACGGCAGGCGCAGCTCGCTCCGGCTCCGCGCTGTGAGGGCTCCTCCTCTCTGCCCGCCCTCGTCGCTCATTGGCAGAACGGCGAGCGGCGGCGGGGCCTCCGTGCTGAGGCTCATCGCCCATTGGCTGGCAGAGAGGAAGTGGGCGTGCCCCGGCGCGCCCCCGGCCCTGCCCGTCTGTCGCCGCCGCGCACCATTCGCTCCGCAGCGCTGCTGGGCGGGCGCTCCCGGCCGCTCCCGCGCTCCCATTGGAGCCGGGCTCCAGTTCCGCCACGCTCTTCCCGGCTTCCGGCTCGCGGGGCGGCCGAGGGAGCCGGTCGGGACGCGGAGGAGGTCGGTGCCGCCCGTGCCTGTGGTGCCCGTGCCGCCCAGAATGGGATGCGCGTGAGCCGCGGGTCTCTGCTCCCCGCGGGAGGCCGCAGGTGGGTGCGCGGGGCCGGGCGGGTGCGGGCCGGGCACGGCGAGGCCGCGGGGCGAAGCCGCGCTCCGTCCCGGGCGGGTCCGGGGCAGGGGCCCCCGGCTGGAGGAGCCCGGCCGGGCCGCTCCCAGCGAGGCGCAGCAAGTTGCCGGGAGAAGCCATGTCTAGCGCAGGTTCTGCTTTTGGGAGAGGGCAGTCACGAGTGCTCGTGTCACGGGCTTCCTCATTTCGTGACCGCGCACTGGAACCGATTGCCCGTGGAGGCTGTGGAGTCTCCCTCGCTGGAGATATTGCAGAACCGTCTGTACACAATCCTGTGCCATGTCGCTAGGGCGACCCTGCTTGAGCAGGGAAGTTGGACCAAGTGACCCACTTTGGTGCCTTCCAGCCTTACCCACTCCGTGATTTCTGCGTTCTTTTGGTACCCCATGGCGAGCAGAGCCGCTCGGCAGCTGTGGACTCCGCGGGGCTCTGGGGAAATCATCAGGTTCACTCAAACGGGCTCTGTGTCCAGGTGCTTATTTAATGGAGGGCCTGCCTTCCACCAGCGACTGGAGCTTTACCAAAATCTGCCACACAAGAAGGGGGGGGGGGGGGGGAGGGAGGGGATCTGTTGCACTGCATTGTTTGGCTGGTGCCATCATTGAATGTTTAATTCGTGATTTTAGCATGAACCTGAAAGCCAAATCTTATAGTCTTATAATATTCTTCTTGTTGTTATTATTGCTGTTATTATTATTACTGTTATTATCTTCATTACTCCCTTGTTGATTGCATCTTACATAGGATGCCTTGCTTTCCTCCTTTCCTAGTCAAAACTGGGAAGGAAAGGAAGGTTCTGTGAAGTTGCAGTTTAGCATTATTAATATATTTCAGATTTTCAGCTAAAGGAATACTGGGATCATTATAAAGATTAAGGCACTTGAATGAACAGAGCCTTACTAATCACAGTGGCTCTTCCTTGTGAGCTCTTTACACGAGAGCTGTGAAGATGATTGATTAGAGGCCTCATAAATAATTTTCTGCTGACTGGCTTCTCAGTGCAACACCATAACAAACAGTGGATTATGCTTGAAATTTACTCCAGCATTCAGTCTGCTGGACTCTGCTCTGGCAGCTAATTAACGTGCTCAGCAGCAAAACTTTTTGTGGTCTCAAAGCAAATTCAGAAGAGGGCCCCAAATCAGCCCAGTGATTTGACTTTGGCTGCGCAAGAGATTCAGATTTAGTCTCTTGTGAACTGTGAGTTGTTTCAGCTTCTCCTTTTTGCAGTCAGGACTGAGGAAGTGGCTAATCATTGACTCCATGACCCTGAAGTTAGTTCGCAGGGGGCTGAAACTAATCCTTTGTGAAGTT